GAGGCTGAGGGAACTAGGTTTTTTTAGTCTGTAGACAAGACTGAGTGGGGATTTGATGGCATTTAATTACCTGAAGCGAGTTTCTAAAGCGGCTGGAGCTAGACTGTTCTCAGTGGTGGTAGATGACAGAACAAAGAGCAATGGTTTTAAGTTGTAGCAAGGGAAGTTTAGGTTGGATATTAGGAAAAACGTTCTCACCAGGAGGGTGATGGAGTGCAGGAACAGATTACCCAGAGGGGTGCTGGAATCCCTACCCTTGGAAGTTTTTAAGGTCCGGCTTGGCTGGAATGATACAGTTGTGGGCGGTCCTGTTTTGAGAAGGGGGTTGGACTCAGTGACCTGAAGTCTCTATCAATCCTAATTTTCTATGATTTCTATGATTGTGTTTATTTGGGAGACATGTTAGACATGTTTTGAATGGAGAATGCCTTTAACTTGAAGAAGAACACTTTGTGCTAGAAAGCTTATTTTACATCTATCAACTATATGACATATTTTCTCATATACAACACACCCCAGAATAAAATATGCACCTTGTTTTTGGGAAGTTGGAATTCAGAAAAAGTATTTACCTAGTTGCGGCTGCTTAGAGCAGGGACAGACCTAAGGAGTCCACAAGGCTCTGAAACAGGAGAGGAGACCAGGAATAGCTACTGGACAGCAAAAGAAAGGTAAGCTTGATAGTGGAATATCAAGGCTATTAAAAAGGAGAGGCTGTTGTTAAAACCTGTGGAGTGAAGAATGAGCCAGTGAAGAATAATAACCCCCTCATCTGCTTGAAAGGAAATTCCATTGCCGCTGCTGGGCAGTTGATTTTTGGAGTTGGACAAAAAGTGGAGGCTTCTGTGTTGGGTAGAAAAATCAGCTTTCATACATGCACTCCAATGTTGGGGTGGGAGGGTTGACTTTTGGGGAAAAAAAGCATGTGTTACATGTAAGAACATAAGGTAGTTGGTCCAATAAAAGATATTACCAAAAAACACTTACTTTTCATAGTTCTTAGACCAAGGATGGCCAGCAAGTGTCACAGGCAACATTGGGGAGGGGACAGGCAGCATAGCGGCAGGTAGGGCAGGAGACCGAAAGCAAAGCAGCATATTGGGCAGGGAGCATGGGGAACAAAGCAGAAAGCAAAGCTGCAGATCAGCAGAGAGCACAGGGCTGGTAGCAGAAAGCAGACCAGCCAGTAAGGCAGGAGAAGAAGATTGCCATGCACTCAGGGAGGGTGTGGGGCTATCTTGTGGTACATGTGCCAAAAAAGTTGACTCCCACTGTTCTAGACTGTCAAAGCTACAACACTCCAACCCTACATTTGGTCAGTGGCAGTCAATGGTCAATCCCACCTTCAGATATGGTATTGGGTTTCCTACAGACTAATACTTGAAGATGGCTGTTATTCATCTTACAATAACCATTTTTCCAATATGTTTTGTCTTTGTAGATCCTGACATTCAGAAACTCTGAATTAGTGAGGGAACTGCAGAGTGGCTATAGTTAGTTAGCCTTTAGACCCTTGGTTATGGCGGATTCACATGGGCTTACTCAGTTAATGTATTTCTGTTCTTTACTATATACTGTCTGCTCTTTACTGTCAACTGAGGGAGTGCGTTACATGTAGTAATTGCCTTGGCAAGACTGTGTCACAAATGGAGTCTACTTTTGACTGTCTTGAATTCGTGCTGCATGCGGTCCTGCCAGCTCTACATTCAGTGCAGGTCCAGGACCAGCTGGAGTAGGTGCCATGTATGGCACAATCCAGCTAGGGCAGCCACCATGTGCAGTGTAACTACTACTTGCTACTCTGGCTGGACTGCGCTGCATGTGGTGCCTGTTTCAGCCACACTGGGTTGTGCGCTGCATGCAGCGTGGGTCCCAGACCAGCTGGAGCAGCTGATGGATCAGCTATGCTGGGGGAGGGGAAAGTCCAGGATCCAGATCCAGTCTGGACTGGTGCTGCATCATGGGCATGTGCTGTACCCCATGCGAGTCTAGTCAGACCCAGGGGAAGCACCGGGAGCTGGATGGTGGAGCTCTGTGTACTGGATCTAGCTTACTGGTTGTAGGTTTTTGTCTATATCAAGGGTGTCAGGTCACAGTTACTGTAAGGTAAGTGACTGTTTTTTGTTTTTTTTAATTAATGATGGCTTTTCCCTTTTTGTAAATGTCTTCCCCCCCCCCCCCCC